ACACCAAGATTTGTGTACTGCAAACTGTTATCTAGTTGTAGTGTAGAGTTATCAATGAAATCTGTGTGCACTCACTGAGATGTGTGTACTGTAAACTGTTATCTAGTTGTAGTGTAGAGTTATCAATGAAATCTGTGTGCACTTACTAAGATGTGTGTACTGTAAACTGTTATCTTGTTGTAGTGTAGAGTTATCAATGAAATTTGTGTGCACTCACCAAGATGTGTGTACTGTAAACGGTTATCTAGTTGTAGTGTAGAGTTATCAGTGAAATCTATGTGCACTCACTAAGATGTGTGTACTGCAAACTGTTATATAGTTGTAGTGTAGAGTTATCAATGAAATCTGTGTGCACTCACTGAGATGTGTGTACTGCAAACTGTTATCTAGTTGTAGTGTAGAGTTATCAATGAAATCTGTGTGCACTTACTAAGATGTGTGTACTGCAAACTGTTATCAAGTTGTAGTGTAGAGTTATCAATGAAATCTATGTGCACTTACCAAGATGTGTGTACTGCAAACTGTTATCAAGTTGTAGCGTATAATTATCAATGATGTTCAAGACAGTGAATATCTCCGTATGGAAAGGCTCATAATCTGTTGGTGCTATGACAATTTCATCTCCAACTTTCCAGTCTACTGCATCTTCCATTGTTATTATATCATCACCAACATTAGCAGTAGCAGCTAAATGAGTCCAGTAGATATTAGGTTCTTTTCCATGAAGATCTAAGTCACCAAAGACACCTGTAAATTGATAAAGGAAATAAATTTGTCATAGAAAAGGAAAATGCTTTAAATTAACACACACCAAACCTACAAATTAACAGTTACAGCGTACAGATAAAATTTCATTTTGACATTGAATTAAATAGCCCAAAATCACCATTCCTATGTTACATTGGTTTGACGTAAAACTAAAAGCATATACAAGTAAACAATTACATGAAGCATGCCCAGGCACACACAACCATGGTCGACTATCAATTAACTACCATGGTTGACCACATTTTGTTAACTACATTTTGTCAGTAACCATGTTTTTGATAAATGGGACTTGACCATGGTCAGTGACATGGTAGTTGATTATTGGTGACCTGCCATATTATTCTTGTTGGTTCAGCTCATTCTCCCTCCAAGAGTTCCATGCCGGCCGTTAGAACACAGAAAGTACCTCCCACACACCACCATTTTGTGATGACACGCCACAAGACTTATACTACGCGTATTCTTGACATGTTTACTGCCACTCCATTTGTGCTATGTAAAATATGAGCTTCTCACTTTGAATCAACCTGAATCTACAAACAGCACATATGCTTTCGTCAGGTATGAAAATCGAACACCAGCATGGCAATATTTTGGTGGGAGTCTTTGAAAGCAGTACCACTGTGATGCATTGACCAATAAGCAAAAGATCACATGGTGGCAGAAATATATTCATAGAAACTCTGCATGGGGGAAGTTGGTTCAGCTGTTACTAGTACATGTATATTTATATCCATTACGTGATTTACCTTAAGAGCTGAAGACTATATATTGTTGTATATAAACTATTGTTCTCTATCATGTTGTAATAATTGATGAAGAAAATATATGGAAAATGACTTTGCATTCCAATATTGGAGGTATGTAAATGTGTCGAAATGGACATAGTGCGAGTGGTTAGTGCTAGTAGCACTAATCAGAAAAACTACTAGATCTAGTGCTAAAATGGCACTAGATCTAGTGCTAAAACGGCACTAGATCTAGTGCTAAAATGTACATAGTGCGAGTGGCATTGATATCGCGTTGACAACGACGTCAAGGCATCCAGTAATTCTCTGAAAATAAATTAATATTTACGTAAAATGTTTGTATCTTTCATTCATTGGAAATGTGCTACAGTGGGAAAATTGAGAATGTCATTGCCCACGTTTGTCATAATAGACCTTTGGAACAACGCGATCGGCCGGGAAACTAGCTGAAACAGTAAAAGTGCAGGTCCAACTTTGCAATTTTTACAAATTGTGAATAGATATACTGTAT